ATTTCAAGGGAAGCAGGGAGTAATTTTAGCAATTTTCTTCTTCCTGTGAGAGTTTTCAGTAACTGTGCAGTTTGTGGAGACTATCCACATATTAGAACTTATTCTGTGAAAAGGTTGGTTTATACAGAAAACATCATATTTCTTTTTAAAAAATTAAATGTTATTAATATCAACAGACATATATCACATAACAAATAATCATATCTTAGATATATAACAGTGTCTCATAAAATAAATATTACCTGTATATTACACAACAAAACAAAACAAGGAGCCCTGGTGGCACAGTGGTTAAATGCCTGTACTGCAGCCACTCACTCATAGACCACAAGGTTGCGAGTTCAATACTAGCCAGTATATCATGTTATCTGAGATTTAGCATGCGACTAATTCCGATCAGCTTACAGTTAATAAACAATAAATACTCTTCTTCAAGGTCAAAGTACTTAAAGAATTCGTAAGCAAAAGGTTAATAATTTTCCTTGTTTTCATACATTTGGAAGTAAATGTAAGCAGAACAACAGGGAATGGTCAGATGAGATAACTTTGCTCTCTAGAATATAGTTTTGTGTATGTGAGTCCTGGGAAAGGCAAGGTTCTCAAACATATCAGATTCGCAAGAATGACATATTTAATAAATTAATAGCATTTGTTATTGACTGACAGAAAGTGAGATCTTTATTGACCTTTAAGCAGAATGTCATGCATCATACAGAAAGGAAGTCATGTCCTTTACATACCACATTGTTTTCAAAAACTTCACATGCCATAGTGTCTACAGAGGAAGGCAGAAATAGATAACAGTTTCATCAGCCTCTTCTTCAAAGCAACAATTTTAATGCACTCATTGAGATGTACTCTTTTATTTGGTTTTCTGGAGTCCATGGCAAAACTTAAAAATGATTTTCCAATCAACCAACTGAGGAAAAATGGTATGAGCTGAATTGTGAATAAACCTTTTTTTATCCATTACCAGAAGATACTTGCTGCAGCTCTAACACCTCCCTCAACCACTATCCTTTGCCTTAACTCACATATTATTGCAATTATTTTTTGTTCACTTGGGGCACTGATGTGCTGCCAGCACCTTAACAAAAAATTCCTACAAAGTGCATGATAAGTACTGAACTTATCCAAAGGGGCATTTGTACTGAGACAGAAGATGGGGGTAAGGAGATTCTAGTCTATTAATTTTTTTGTGTAAACAACCAACTAATATGCTTTCTCATGGCTGTCACTAAAACAAATAGCAATTAGCTTCAGTATCAGCTAAATTTTGCTTTATTGATACTGTACTAAAGAGAATATATACTGTATTACTAACTTTTAAATTTACATCTCAATGGATGCATATTGCAATTTGTATTCTTGGCCTGTTTATATATATATATATATATATATATATATATATATATATATATCCTAATCCTAATCCTAATCCTAATCCTAATCCTAATCCTAATCCTAATCCTATGCATGGTTTAGGAAAACCAAAAAATATAAGGAATATCAATAAAAAGTATTTGCCTTTTATATGTGATTTTGTTTTCTCCAACCCAGCCTCTAACTAAGTTTCTCCCTTTCCAAATTGTTATTTTCATATTTTTATATGCAATTCTTTTCTGTGTTAACCTACATTTTTTTAAAAAAAAAAATCTTAGCAATATATAATTGTGACTTGTATCTCAGAACATATGAACCATTTCAAAATATTTGCCCATTAAGCAGAATGCAGCAAAATACACAATCCACAAAAGAGTTCCAGACTTTGGAACTCCCTCACAATAAAAGTTAAGATGGCTCCTTCTTTGGGTGTTTTGTTTTGTTTTCTAATAAAAGGTTAAAGCATGTCTTTTCCAGGAAGCTGTTGGAAACTAATTTTCAACAAAAATTACTTTTATTGTGCTGTATTGTTTTTAATCTGTTTTAAAGTAAGATTTTAATTTGTTTTTAATTCTGTTGTATTTTATTCTGCCTTTTTTGTAAGCTGCCTTGAGTTCTACCTTGGAGAAAAGGTGGGATATAAATAAAGTGATGGATGGATGCATTTACAAAGATGAGATTCCTCATTTTTTAAAAATGTATTAAATATTTAATTGCAAATTCAAAAGAAAGAATGGAGAAAAGAGAGGTGGAAGAAGGAGGAAAAGTAAAGTAAAGAATGAATTGAATATATTTCCTGACTCATTATGTGTATTAATGTAAGCTGACCAAAATATATTGTCCCCTCCACCCCAAAACGTAAGCTGGTATCAGCAAAATTTTCATAGACAGATCAAGTAGTAAGGACCTGCAACTACTAAACAGTGGATGACAAGTATTTCTTTGTGCAACGCTGGAGTACAACATGTTCTACATGGTGTGGTGTGTAGGATCCAACTATCATGATAACCAGTAAAATTCTAAATTATAGTAACATAATTTAAAAGTACATAACAGCTTACACCTATCAAGATTTTTCTAACTTTTAAAAAAATATGATGCAGTATATATAGCCAAAAGGAACCCACTACTGAATACACTCACATAATGTGCCATTAGGACATTCCTCAAGCATCTCTAGCTTCATCTGCCACTATCACAAACTCTCAATTGCTAGCATGCTTGACTGTAATTTGCTTGGTATATACTTAGAGTATCAGCTATGGAACTTTCATAGTGCTTAGTATCATTTGTCTTTAATATAAAAAAAAAATTTGCTACTTTTTTTTGTGAAGGCTTGCTACTATTTTCATTTCCTTTGTGGGCCTTCAGAGAAGCAAGAATTAAAAACATCTCACATCCACAGCAACAATGAAATAAAAGATTGCTTACCTGCACAAAGAGTGGCACATATACAATAAGTCACATGTTAAAAGAAAAATGGAGTAAGCTGTATCCATTCATATTATACATATTATACATTCAAGGAAGATGTTAGACCTGTACTTGAAACTAATGCTATAGTGAGGACAAAAGCTGTCCACCACTCATAAGTTCTGACAACAAAGTCCATGGAGTGTGTATGTGTCAAAATGTTTGTCTCTGTGTAGACTGTATTCTGGCCCTGGAGTTTCCTTGATGCCTCCACAGTATATGGGACCCTCCATTGTGACATCAGGCAGCTGTTCACACACATATGCCCCCCTATGCCACCTGCTGTGGTGAGTTGCTTGCTCTGAGGTCAGAACAAGGCAAGTGTCGATCAAATAGCTTGGTGTCTTGTTCTCACCTCAGAGTGAATGACTTACTGTGTCATTTCCAGGTGGCACTGTGGGGTTCATTGTAAAGAGCTGTTCCACACAACAACAGAGGGCTACATATCTTCTGGGAAGATTAGGAGCAAAAGATGTTTTTAAGGAGGTATATGGTGATTTCACACCAGAGCTGAAGATTGGGTCCTGCATTGTCAGAACTACTCACCATGAGTGGAGAGGATGTTTTATTTGGCTGTGTGGACAATCCCATGGATGTGGCACTATAAAGGTTGTCTTGTCATCCTGACAATAACATCAAACATTTCAGTAATAGTAGTAGCATTAGCTATTCTTCCTCTTCTCCTTCCTTTCTTGCAATACATTAAGCCTATCAATTTATTTCCACCTCACTTACATTAAAAATTAGGCACCATAACTTTATAAGAATACAAATAATTCCTGCTTACAATAAACACACATTGTTTATTAAGTATCATGTTAAAAAGTGGAAATGAATTCTCTTAACTCTCCAGATTTTGGCATTATTCTAATTCTATCAGTCAAATTAGTTGGCCACTCATGTGAAAAGTGTGTGACTCTATGACTGCAGATGTATTCAGTAATGCTTGTTCAGGATCTTGGATATCTGAAGAACACTAATCATTCTGAAACAGCCATATTCTCATTGAGCATGTTTTTCTTCCTATTATGTTTTTAGATGAAAAGGAATTTGGAAATGTATTTCTCCAAACTGATCTGTATGAGTATGCCAGACTGTGTTGTATTCTTTCTATCAGTCTGTTTGATACTTTAGGAATCTGTCAGTTTCTCTCTAGTACTAGTATACTTTGTAATTTGATAGCCCTTCCCTTTCAGTTAACTCTAATACATTTGTTTTTAGAAAATGTCTCCCTAGGCATAATTATTTCATTCTGAATGGTGGAAATTTTGAATGATTAGGGCTCACTACTAGTGCTTGGTGAATATGTTGCAGTAACTGCCTTGTAATCCTATGTAGATCCATTGAGTACACTGGGACTGGGTCCCAGGGAAGTAAGGTAATAGTGTTGTATGACAATAATGTAACAATGGGCCTTTGCAGACTGCCAGAAATAGTGCACATTAAATTGAAGCACTGCCCTGGCTCAGTGCTAGAGAGTCATGGGAATTGTATTTTTTTTCTGAGACATTGAGCCTTCTCTGTCAGAGATCTCTGGTGCCACAATAAAATACAGTTCCCATGATTCCCTAGCACTGAGCCAGGGCAGTGCCTCAATTTAATGTGCACTATTTCTGGCAGTCTGCAAAGGCCCAATGTTTAGCAAATGTGCAGCAGGAACAGCAACTTTAGCTCTCTACTACAGTGGGCTTTTGGAAACCTCTGAAGTTTTGTTCCAGGACCCTTCATGGGCACCAAAATCTGCCCTCTGGAAGCTCGCACACACACACACACACACATACACCAGGTGGCAACCTGGTCGGTAACACCACTGACTCAGAGGTGGCTTTGCCAGTTCCTTCCTCTGAAATATAGTTTACAGTACTTGATATTTGTTGGCAGTATCCTATCCAAGCCCTAAGTATTACTACTTATTACAGCTACTACTTATTACAACAACACATAAAGTAGAAGAGAGGAGATACTGGAAACATTAATATTGGAAAGCAAGTGGTGGTATTATTGCCAGCAACAACTAACACAAGAAACTTGCACTAGTACTACATTGTTGTTGTTGTTCTCATGTGCCTTCAAGCTGCTTCTGACTTATGGTAACCCTAAGGCAAACCTATCACAGGATTTTCTGGGGTTGAGAGTGTATGACTTGCCTTAGGTGGGGAATTGAACCCTGGTCTCCAGAGTTGTAGTCTAGGGCTCAAACCACTACACCATGCTGGCTACTGCTATGCTATAGCAGAAATATAGTATTACTGCTACATATAGAAATATATCACTACTGCTATACTATATAAGAAATAGCTCATAGTTCTCAAGGGATGTTCTGTTGCCTTTGTGTTCTTCTGATAAGTTTCCCAGGAGCATCTCAGTGAAGCATAATACCGGGAAGATAGAGACTAATCTGATCCAACAATCTGTTCTTATTTTCTTCTTTCTTTTTCTGAAGCAATATGAACATTGCTTGGCTAATGTATAACCTCTGAACAATGATGTGCTGTGTCAGTAAATGGGTACAGATTATTCACTTACTGCAGAACAAACCCTTCCCCCATAATATTTAAAGTATGACTACACATTTTGTAAAATATTTTTGTTTAAATTAAAACTAGTTAAGAAATCTAAAAGGACTTCCATCAGTTGAAACAGATGGATCACCTTCCCTCTAAAAAAATCTGATTTAGGTCTAATAGAGAAAGCTTTTAGGCCTATGTATTAAGCTATATGCATGAATATTTAGAAGTGTGCATTGAATGAAAAGGATGGAACACAGAGTCTCATCTTTTTCTTTTTCTTTTTTTTCTTTTTTTTTTTTTTTTTTTTTTTTGCCTCCTACATTTTTCGTTCGTTATATGGAATTTTATCTTTTTTCCCCAACTGGAATTTAGTTCTGTGCCACTTGGAGGCACTCTTATACTATGCTAGATGGCAATTTATTCTACAAGTACTTTATTAAATGAAATATTTTAACTTCTTTTTTGCTCCAAATATTCACTTGTGGATTGGTAATTAACACTGGTTTGCATAGTTAAACTTTGACATTATACATATTTATTAACTTGTAATTTTGGATGAAGTAAACAGTCCCTTATACTTCAGATAAAATGACATTAATTCCTTGGTGGAAAAGATGATAAAATGTTGTCAATAATGCAATGTTTGTTTCAAGGGAGTGGGTTGAAATGGGCTTGTTAGCTAAACCTTATACAAATTGCTCTCACTCAAAATGTGTGCTTTTTATGACTTCATATCAATACATGCAGCTTATATTCTATGTGTAATTACATGTACTTATCTTCTGAAAGTATTGGGGAGAGTCCTTACATTGGGTTGATTCAGATCTGTCAGTTGGGCTCTGCATTGACTACATTGGCTTTACTGAGTCTATTCTAAAAATAAAAAGACCTTGATCCCATTTTTCAGACTGCCAGAAATAGTGCAAATTGAGTCCACTTTTAGGGTTAGGGTTAGTGCTAGGGAATCATGGGAATTGTAGTTTTCCTGAGACATTGAGCCTTCTCTGTCAGAGAGCTCTGGTGCCACAATAAAATACAGTTCCCTTGATTCCCTAACCCTAACCCTAACCCTAAAAGTGGACTCAATTTGCACTATTTCTGGCAGTCTGCAACCCCCTTGACTGTATATTCCATTTTGTTATTGTTCTATGGCATTGATTCCCAAGCTTTAGCGATCTAGATATTCTGGACTTCAACTCCCAGAAGCCCCAGCCGGCTTGGCCAACAAATTTTTCTCTGAAACCATTGTTCTCTGGGTTGTTATTTCCCATATGCTGGTTTCATTATTTCATTACTTTCTAGTGGAGTCTCTAAGCTGTTTCTATCATGACAGCAATTTTATTATGGCAGAATTTTTCATACACACTTAGATTTGTGTGCACACATGGTGGGTATAAATTGTAAGGTTAGAAGGCACTGGAAGAAGAAAGTATAGACAGTGATAATTATCTCAACCATGGCTATGCACAAGTTGTTGTTAAGTAATAATGGCATTGGGGAGCTGATAGCACATATTAAAAAAATATTAATTCCATAGTGGAATTTGCTACAATTTGCTACAATTGAACCATTTACTACAATTTTCAGATCATGTTGTCTGATTTTTTTTTTAACAATATTTGAGTTTGGAAGTCTTTGAAGGTTATATTTTGCAATGTACTTTAAAAGATGTAAACTTGAAGTATTAATTCACCAGCTGTAGGACTGGTTCTGGTTTCCACTGGAGGCAGATCACTGGAATGAATGGAACATTCATTTACCTGAGTCAGTAAAACTTTTTCCTTATCTTAAGCTTAATTGTGTAAATAGAACAAAATGGCCTGCTTCCCAGACATTAATTCATAGTTGTCCTTTGAGATATATAAAAACAAAGTATAGTGTCAGCTAAAATAGGGTGTAGAAAATGAAAGAAAGATTAATAGTGGCTATAATGTAACAGTTATACTGCAGAAATTCTCTTTCACCTAAGAGAAATTTCTCAGCCCATTATACTGTTACAGTTAGATGTGACTACACTACAGTATATACACAACAGCACACTATACTATTATTATACACTTTGTTGTTGTGTGCTTTTAAGACATTTTTTACTTATGGCAACACTAAAAAACCTATCATGGGTTTTTCTGGGCAAGATTTATTCAAAGGGCATTTGACATTGCTTTCTTCTAAATATGAGAGAGATGACTTGCCCAAGATCACCCAGAGAATGTTCATGGATGAGGAGAGATCTCTGTTTTCCAGAGTCATACTCCAATGCTCAAACTACTATGCCATGCCAGCTCTCATATGTTATCAGGAGCAGTGCAGAGACTGAGGCCAACACCGGCAGAGACTGTTTGCCTTCTCCCAACTGCCACTTACCATCTCCCAACTGCCACTTACCATCAGGAGCAGTGCAGAGACTGAGGCCAATGCCGGCAGGGACCATTACCTTCCCCTTTGCCTCCCTCAGAACAGCTGTGGAGGCCAGGAGGGTGGAGCCAATGTTGGAGGAAGCCTTCAAGAGTCTCCCAACTGCCACTTACCATCAGGAGCAGTGCAGACACTGAGGCCAACGCCGGTAGGGACTGTTTGCCTTCCTATTTGCCTTTCCCTGTGGCCTGGACTGCCCTTCCCAAGGCCGGGAATGAGGTAGGGG